CGCCCATATCTGGTTTCGGTCTTCTCCTCATGCCCAGTTTCTATCATTCTGGCGCAAGGAAAGATTGAGTATCCTTCTGAGGACAAGAGACCCGAGATCATCAGAGAGAGCCACGACACCCCGATGGGAGGTCACAAGGGGGTCGTAAAAACATATCACCGCATCAGACAACGGTTCTATTGGCCCGGCATGAAACAACAAATATATGAGTATGTACAGAGTTGCACCACATGCCAGACCGAGAAGTTGAACCGCATCAAAAGAAAGAAGCCAGCCATCATCACCGACACTCCCTCTGAACCTTTCGAGAAAATATCAATAGATACCGTAGGCCCTCTGGAGATGACTCCGGACGGCAATCTGCACATTCTTACAATCCAAGACAACTTCTCCAAGTTTTGCTGCGCAGTTCCTTTACCTGATATTCGGACTCAGACGATTGCGGAGGCCTTGGTTACTCATTTTATTTGCTTCTACGGGTGCCCTAAGGTCATTTTGTCTGACCGAGGTACCTCCTTCACTAGCAAACTTCTAGCCAAGTTAGCCAAAATCCTGAGGATTAAGCGGGTTTTAACATCGGCATATCACCCGCAATCCAATGGCTCGCTGGAGAGATCACACCACCCTCTCGTGGAATACCTTCGCTCCTTCGTTACGACATATCACGATTGGGACAGGTATCTGCCGATGGCCATGTTTAACTATAACACTACGGTCCACACGGCCACCCAGTTCACTCCATTTGAACTTTTGTATGGTAAGGTGGCACGCGCCCCTACCGCACTCCCTGACTTCTCGGAAATTAACACATATCCAGAAGCCTTGGAAAATCTGATCACCCGACTATCCGAGGCTCGGCGCATGGCGCGAAAAAATTTGATTAGAGCCAAGGAGAAATCAAAGGAACGCTCTGATAAAGGCATAAGGGAACTTCATCTTCAGAACGGTGATTTGGCCTACGTGTACATGGCCCCCGGGGTTGCATAGATGTCTCTGCTCTTAAGATATGTCGCGCAACAACGGGGGCAGATTAGACTATAATCCGTCGTACCCCACTTTCGTACTGCCTTATATGGCAGTCTGAATGGGGGTACGTCGAACACGCCGAGCGCGAGACGCGTTAGCGACCGCCGACCAAAGCGGAGAAAGTTGGTACTACGGGAGGCCAAATTCCAAGCCCTGTGCCTGGGGCTGCAAAGTCAAAATATGACATGTAGGACCAGGTACAACTGGCCAATTGAGGTCGGACTCGTAGTGGTATGTCGTAAGGCCTCGGGCTTGTTACGTGTATCCCTGTGCCTGTTTTAGGTGCAGGTATATGCGTCTCGGGAAATGCCATCGCTAAGATAGTAGTGTAGTATAATTTCCCAGAGTTATGCCCAAAGGGGCGAGGTACTCATTACCGTCCTTCGGACGGAGGGAACCATGGCTTTGGCTTGGCCTACGTGTACAAAGCACCACGGAAGGGCAAGTTGGACGTGTACTGTGTCGGCCCGTTCGAGATGGTAGACTTTACCGAACACGGTAACGTCGTCCTAGAAACGTCCGAGGGCGAGCGTTTTGTCAAACACCCGGAAAAACTTAAGAAGAAAGTTGAGCGCTCCAACTCAGACATGCTCTCAGAAGCCCCGGCTTAGTTGCGTAGTCAATTACGCCAGAGCTGAAATCCTTGTGTCTAGCTTGCGCATAACACCTTCTATTGCATGTTCAGATTTACAAATATACAGGAACTGTGCTCTACACTATCCCGCATCTAGCATCCACCTTTATTCATAGATAACTACACTCTCTCGCCTAATTAACTAAATGGTCTTATCTTGTTTTTGGGGAAAAAAAGGGGATGTGGCAGCAGGACCCCAGACTCCAGGGGCCAGGACCATGGGTAGTCCTGACTCGATTACACCCTGGATCTGCGAGGACCGGCCGGCAGGGGGTCGCTGCCCAAAGACCAGCCCTCCCCTCGCTGGGCCCATCAGCATCCAACAGCACCCCTTCCCGCGTCCTGATCGACCACCCCCTGCCTCTGCAACCCCCTCCCCGGCCTGACAGGTTTGGCTATTTATTCTGGTGTAGCAAGGTGTCCTTGGAATGGACCGGCCCGACGAGCAGTCTCCACCTGCCTCGACAACCTCGAGGGGTCAGTACTCCAGAACCCAGCGGAATCGCCGCCGACGGGAGAGAAGATGGCTACTGGAAACTGCCATCCTACTGGGCCTCCACCCGGTCCCTCCAAGGGGGCGGGCGCATTTCTTCCCCCGTTCCAGGCAGACCAAAACATCTCCGGGCGAGCCATTTGCGGACACTGAGACAACAGCGACTATAACTCCGCCACCATCTAACGCCAGCCTGCTCCTCGGGCAGATCCGTCGGCGCCGTGTTAACAGGCCCCGACGAAGAAACAGAAGGAGGAGAAGCCCCACCACAGGACCCGCCAACCATCCAGGAATGGAGGCGTTTCGTCCCTACCACAGCGATATTGAGGACTTCTTAATGCAGTTCAGCTCGACCACCCCCGCGGTTGTGGCCGAACCAACGAGCGGGCCACGGTCTTCCGAGCCCGAACACCAGATGCCTGTGGCCACTAGCCCGGAAGAGCAGCCAAAGTTCGATTAAAGTTATCTCTCCCTTCTCTTGTGTACCATCATAAGAGTTATGGTACCTGTACCAATGTGGGAAATCATAACCTGAATAAATAAGTGAATTAATACATAAGTTCGCAGTGTACTAACTCTTGAGATTTCGTTTTCAGAAATGCAGGCTCTAACACTCTCACTTTTTCTTCTCACACTTTCTACCGCCTTGGCCAATGAACCTTACAGAGTCACCCTTTTTGAGCACCGCTCTGGCCTTCATTATGAGGAGTTCTCCCACATTCAACTCATTCAAGAATACTGGCGCGTAGTCGCCACTATCGACATTGAAGCCCTCCTCAACAGCCTTCAACAGGACGTTTACACCTATCGGAACTTCACTGAGACGTGCCGCCAGTTGCTTTCACCCACCTTCTGCGGGCACACTCTTCAAGAGTCCTCCATACAAGCCGAGCTAATTGAGAAAGATCGGCTAAGCGCGCACCTGCGCCAGCTAATCGACCGGACGCCCTTCAGCGAATTCTCCAACTCCAGGGACCGCCGTTCCCCATGGTTCGGGATCATTGGGACTGGCCTAAGGAAGATTTTTGGCACCCTGGACTACAACGACTACGAACACTTCACCAAAGAGATAGATCGCCTCTACCAAGACCAGGCGGGAATCATTCACCTGGTGAACAATACTACGCATATTATTAGGGCTGAAATAAACACTGCGATCTCTGGGCTCTCAGACACCAACAAACGAGTAAACGACCTGGCTGTGTTCGCCGCCACCCTATCTAAACAACAGGATCATTAGAGGCTCATGGTCGAAAAGGAGCGCGACTACACTCTGCTTGGCCTCCACTTCTATCGTGTCATCGAGCGCCACAACTCTTTGATGCGACAGACTATCCTGGCCGTAGAGGAAGCAAAGAGGGGTATCCTTAACCCCACATTAGTATCTGCCGACCAAATTAGACAAGCTGTGCGGCATATTGAAGAGAAGCGACCACACCTCAATCCCCCTCAGCCTTTGGACCACATAGACCTACAGGTACTCTCGAAAATCGCTAGTCTCCGCCGCCCGCGTAGGACCTACTTTGCCACCATTATAGAAATCCCGCTTCTGGAAAAACAATTGTGGAAAAGCTACCACCTTCGACCCTACAGAATACCACAGCCCTGGGGAACTGGAACATCAGCCCTCACTATCCTTCCAGAAAAGGAGTTCCTAATCATGTCCGCGGACAGAACCAGGTACTTCCTAGCATCACGAGCGGAACTAACCGACTGCCTACCAGCAGGAAGAAGCCTAGCCTGTGTCCCTGCCACGGCGCTGAGTTCTACCGAAAACAAGCCCATCTGTGAAACCCAAGTTCTGAGAGACCCTTCCAACCAAACCCTCAGAACGTGTAATCTTTGCCTGACACAGTCACGAGTCACCGAGTAGATCGCATTGACTCATCAGAATTCATGGCTCTTCTCCCTATTCCAACCTGAAATATTTAACATCATCTGCGAGGACCAACAAGTGACGACTCTACATCTGGATGGGGCCGGAATCCCAGACCTATCGCCCGGCTGCGTCGCTCAAAACCGCTTCGAAACCATTCTCAACCTGGGGGAGTACCAGACCAACATCACTGGAACAGTCCCTGAGACCTCCCTTAGCCTTGACTCTCTTTCTCCCAACGTGCTCAACACATCCCAACTCGCTTCAACCCCAGATGAACGGGTAAAGAACCGTCTTCCCACCATAGATACTCAGCTGCCGTGGGGTAGTGGCTTGGACCAGATCGAGACGGAGCTTGACCAAATTGGGTTACACCATCAACGGGACCGGCAGCATCGCTCCTGGACCGCTGGCATCGCTGGTGTCGTGGGCATTATCAGCACCATAATCATCGCCTTCGCGGCCTACAAGTGCTGGGCTAACATCACTTGCAGCCGCCTGCGCTCCATACGCCGACGCTCTCCGACCCTACAGAAACGGCGAGGGAACAACATTCCTCTGTCCATAATAATTCCGAAGGAAGTCGCTACAGGAATATCATCAGATCCGGCTCCACCCTCAGGAACACCAAAGGAGGCTCCACTAAGGACGCCTGCACGAAGGTCCGCTTCCAGAGCCGGCGTGGTCATCCCTCCTGCCTCGGCCGCATTTTAAGCTCTCTATTCTTTGTTAATTTTAAGTTATTTTTAGGCTAGATTAAGTTAGTATTATTTACGCTAGGGAGACGTTGGGACCTTCTGTCTACTCCCTATGAAACAATTGCCTCGTTCTAGTATCTATCTCTTATATCGTACATTCCTTTGTCAATCTAACTAAGACCATAACTTTCTACCTAGATTAAGTTCTCACTGTGTATTCGCGACTCGAACTTGGTCTAAGTGCTATCCGCTTTCCCTGTAAGAATCTCCGGAATGCCTTATTACGCAGTGACCCGGGGTCACCGAGTCGGTGACTTTCCCACCTGGGATGAGTGTCGGCTGCAAGTCAGTGGATACCCAGCTCCAGTCTTTCGGCGTTTTTTTCGATTTCACGATGCCAAGGAGTTTCTTCGCCGAGGACTACAGTCTAGCATTTCCATCAGGGCCATAATTAACAGCACCCTGTTCCAGCGAGGCCCAGAAGGAAAAATATCTATCTACACTGACGGAGCCTGCACCGGAAACGGCACCTCTGAAGCTCGCGCAGCCATCGGGGTATTCTTCAATGAGAATCACCCAGAAAATATTTCTAGGTGTGCCCCTAACCGCAAGACCAACAACGGTGCCGAGTTAGAGGCGATTCGAGAAGCAGTTCGGATCGCTAAGCGCCATCAATTAAAGGGAGTTCTCATCTACACGGACTCTGGTTTCATAGTTAATAGCCTGTGCCACTGGCTACGTCTCTGGAGAAGCAGAAACTGGCGCACTTCTTCCGGTCGCCCTGTGATCTACAAAGATGAGCGGCTGTTGCTCGCTGCCGATCCAGAGGTACTAGACAAGCAAGTCAAACACGTCCCCGGTCACCTTGGAGTGCTTGGAAATGAGTGCGCAGACCAGCTGGCGCAAAAGGCATTGTCGGCATCCGCGCCTCCGCCCACAGACATCTAGGCAATACAAAGCCTGCTTGCAGCAGACGTTCGTCTTGATGTTATGTCCGACTTTATGGTTACAATTTTTCTTTTCTTTTTTTTCCCTCATATATATATATTTCGCTTTATTTTTGGTAACCCAAAAATAAACGCATACTCAATTTACCGATACGCTGACAAAATAATTTTTGTCTTTGCCGGAAATTGAGTTTCACGCTTCCTCATGAGAAAATTCATTTCCCATGCAGATACCCGAAGCCCTAGCTTACTGTAAAAATTCATTTTGTTTAAATTTTAGTTTCTCAAGCTGACTAAGCTGAGAAACAGGTCTTTATTTTAGCTACCTTACAAAGTAGAGGCTCTATCTTAATAAAAATTACATTGTAAGTACTTTTTAAATAAAACGCTGAAATCGGAAGCGCTTACGATGCTTTATCGTTCTGGTCTTCTTGGAAACCCCCGGCGACTTAGACCAAGTACCGAGTCTACCTGTAGACTAAACAATTTTTATCTGGGCTTTTTGTCACTGACCAGAAATTAGTCAAGACAGCCCGCGTACTTAGCGTCGCGAGAATTTTTATGACGTCAGTTTGCTCAACGACGTCGAACGAGCAGTCCATTTCCGTTTTAATTACGCATAAATTACTCTTCTTATCGAACTAATATCTACAAGTGATTTAAATAATAATCCTATCTAATAATAGTTTATAACTAATAAATATTTTACACATACATTTATAAACATATATAGATATATATACATATTGAGACTATTCCTGTTATTAAAAGTGACATTATTTGTATAACAATTTACATAATTTTTATAACAATTAAATTTGTTATAAACAATGAAAATAGAGATCTATAGAATATATTTGAATTCTTTTAACGCGTAATTTTTTCTTTTGCTAAAAAAAAGTTACTAACCGTACGACATGAATAAAAACTCATCTTTTTTGTTTATAACAATTAAATCTGTTATAAACAATGAAAATAGAGATCTATAGAATATATTCGAATTCTTCCAACGCGTCATTTTTTCTTTTGCTAAAAAAAAGTTAATTATAAATGAATTCGAAAGACTATTTCAGAATGAATCGACAGTTTTTACGTGGACGTCTGTGTGTGCGTTTGTGCATATGTGCGTACGTACGTTCTGAATTATTTTTCGCCTCGATTATCTCGAGAACCAAAAATGATATCGATGTGGGACCAATTGCATTCGACGCGTAATTACGTAACTTAGAACTAAAAATGTTCATAGGAAAATCGGTAAAGCCATTTTTTTGGGCAGAATCAAAAAACTGGAAAAAAAGGAAATTACTTGAATTTGGCAATTTATAAATTATACCATTTTTTAGACAAAAATTCAAGATTATTGCAGAAATATGAATATTAAATGATTGAAATACTTGTATGGATATATGATGACAATATTTCATCGAAAAAAAAAAATTAAAAAAACAATATCAGCAATGAAAGAATTTTAAACTCGTGTCAGGATTGAGAGAACAGCATTAAAGACGCTATAATAGTCAATAATAATTGTTAATAATATGGGATTGTGTTCATAACAATTGAACATTGTTACTAACGAGTGACTATTGATCATAGTAATATTTAACTAATAAGTTTTAAATTGTTATAAACAATAAAAATAGGAACCCTTTCTATATATATGAGTACTTTTAACGCATAATTTTTTCGTTTACTAAAAAAATGTCACCAACCGTATGCCATAAATGAAAACATACTTTTTTCGTGTATCAAATAGATAGTTTCCAATTTCATTCCCAAAAATTTTGTCAACATCTGTAAGGATTATTAGTTGACAAGTTTGTTGTGTTAAAATTTATAAGGTTATATTAACTTCACCAACCTTTTCTCTCATCTTTAGATAAAATAAGTGTACTTGATAAATTATCATTTGTATTAGAACTATCAGCTTTCTCTAATTCATTTATGACGGTAAAAGGGTTATCATTACTTTCTTTACAAAATAGACTTAAATCTAAAGGGGCATCTTGATTTTCTGCACAAATAGGAACTACCTAATTTAAAAAAATTAATTCACACTATGATATTATGAATTTATGTTTGTCCATACACGATGAAATATACCCATATGCTATTTGATTCCAGCTATTTTTATCACAAATATTTTATTACTTTGAGTGTTGATACTTAGGAATACCTGTTGAGGAATCTTGCTTTTTTCATTTGCATCCATTCCATCTTGTTCAAAAATCTCAGCACTATTGATTATGTTATTTTGATTTAAATTTTTATTAGACTGATTTTCATGACTCTCATTTGAAGTTTTTGTAGTTATAATGCTCGTGGCAAGAGATGGATTTGAAGAGAACTGTTTATCAGATCGACGAGACCCTTATTTTTTTTTTTTTTTCAATTCAGTTTCAGAGCAATACGTACTTTAAAGATTGACATTGAAACTTGACTAATGTGTACTATAATGCTACAAGTAAGAACTTTTGGAATTATCATGTCTGAAATGATTCTGCAAATGATAACATTGGCAGATGGCAGTTTTGGTAGGATAGCTACTTTCGCTGTTTTGAGGCCAAACTGGAAGTAAGGGGTATGGGTAATAGCGCGCTCGTATATACGAACGAGGTGGCAAATGTTTGCTTTACGCCGAGCATCTGTTGATACTCTAGATTAAACATTGAGTCGTAATGTCATGCAACTTTTTTAGTACAGAATAGCGTATTACTCAGCACTGTAGGTGTCAGCGGGTGAACTTGGCGCTGAGTATCTGTTGTTATTCCAGACATGATAATTCCTAGAGTTTTTACTTGTAGCATTATAGTACACATTGGTCAAGTTTCAATGTCAATCTTTGAGGTACGTAAGGTACTGGACCCAGTTATCGATAGGTTAAAAAATAATTGTAAAACTCTACTTTGAAAATAGATTATATATATAAATATAAGTGAATCTATAATCTATAAACATTTAATAATAGTATTATTAAAAAATTTTGTTTGGAAATTTTTTTTTCAATAAGTAATTCAAAGATATCGGAGTACAGACACTAACGCCGCCATAGTAGACAACATTCTTAGCTCAAATCGTAAGACATTACTCTCACAGTAATTGGTTTTTTTTTTTTTAATTTATAAAAATAAATGGATAATTTCTTATTTTAAAAGTTATAAAATACCATCATGGGTAAAGAAAAAAAGGTAAGTTTATTGTATAATGTCCATTAATATGTTTTTTTATAATGTCGATAATACCGGCCATGTATTTGTATATGTAACCTATTTTCGATAACGTGTGTAATTGAATAATTGATGCATATTTCACTCATGGTTATAATTCTTATAAATATAAATCATATATTGTAAGCTGATCATTTTTACAGATTAAGAAAAGAAGAAAATTTTATGATCGGAGTGATATGAAAAAAGCAATAAATTTTGTCCAAAAAGGAGGATCTGTATCAGCAGCAACAAGACATTCAATGTACCTTATGCAACTGTACATTCGAGGATTAATAGAAAGTATTCTTTAGATGAAAAACCAGGACCCAAAACTTATTTGACTCGTAAAGAAGAAAATAAATTAGTAGATTGAATTGTAATGATGAGTAGCAAAGGATTTCCAGTAACAAAAGATCATCTTTTGGATACCGTGCAGATGTTCGTAAGAGGTACTGGAAAAGTGACACCTTTTACCAATTGCAGACCATCAAAACATTGGTATACAGCTTTTTTAAACAGGCACCCAAAACTCTTTGAAAAAATCTGTCAAAATATATCAGGTGCTAGAGCAAATGTTAGTGAGTTTAAGATAAGAAAATGGTTTGGTGAGGTTGGTGATTACTTATCATCACATAACTTGAAAGACATTGAACCCGATAGGATTTTCAATATAGATGAGTCTGGTTTTTATTATGTGCCAAAAGCAACAAAGTTTTAGTTAAAAAAGGTGGAAAGGCTGTATATAATGTGTGCAAAAACGATAAAGAATGTTATACTGCACTGATTGGTGGCAATTCTGCAGGACAGACATTACCAACAATGATTATCCTCAATAATCAAAGAATATCAGCCGCTATTGCTAAAAACTTTCCTGATGGATTCGTCATAGGAAAAAGTGATACAGGATGGATAACAAGCGAGCTCTTTTATTCATACGTTGCAAATCATTTATACCCTTGGTGTTTGAAGAATAATATCTCATTCCCTATTATATTATATGTAGATGGACATAGTTCACACTTAACTAAAGCCCTAAGTGACTTTTGTTGCAGTAAAAAAATCGAATTAATAGCTTTATTAGCTGACGCTACTCATATAATACAGCCAATGAATGTGGCAGTATTCCACCTACTTAAAAAAAATTATAATGTAACTATAAGAAAATGGAGATTATATAACAATGGTGAACAATTAACCAAAACAAATTTTTCTGCTGTATTAAATGATGTGATTCAATCCATTGATATAAAAACTATTTTTAAAAGTGGGTTTGAAAGATGTGGTTTATACCTATTTTCAGCAAAGTCTATTGATTGTAGTAAGTTATTGAAGATTAATAAAGATGAAGAACAGAATAAAAATAGGCAAAATGAAGAAAATAATAATTCATCTAGTAGTAATTCGTCAGTAAAATTAATTCATATGATTGAATCCCAATTAAATGCAGAAGTTTTAGAACAATTTAAAAATAACAATTGTGAATGGACAGGTGCAGAAGAGTACAAAGAATTATAGAAGTTATGGTATCGTTATACAGATCAAAACCAAAGTAAGTTACAATTCTGCGTAAATTGAATATATAAAATACATATAAAATGGTAATGAAACAATTTTTGAATTTTTTACAGTATTAGCCGTACAAAATGAATCAAATAAAAAGGTCCAACAGAAGATAGAAACACTACAGTATTAGAAGAAGCTTTACCACTCATTGATAATGTCTCAGATAACAAAAATATTTTACTATACGAAGAAGAGGCTAGTCAAGATAACTTTAAATTCAATGATTTAC